TTTTTTTTTGACATTCTCGTCCTTGTTGACATAAAAAGCAAAACGAAACATGAAATAATCACTACTCACAACGGTCGACCGCCTCTGCCTCCACGTCCACGACCTCCACGGCCACCCCCACGGCCACTCTCTCCGAAACGATCACCGAAGTCGCCTCCCTTCAACAACAACCAGAATGACGACGACGACCAAATAAATTGAATTCAACAAAAAATATCATCAAAGAACCTCTCGAACCTGATCTTGCATTGAGCGATCGCCCGGCTGCCCACCACCGTATCCCCCACCTCGAGCTCCTCCACGTGCTCCGAAGCCACGACCTCGACCCCGACCTCCACGCCCTCCGCCGAATCGACCTTCACCATCTGGTCTGTTTTCTTTATTCGCTTCTGCAAATCAATCAAAACAGTCTCTTCATAAGAGCCAATAACTGCTCATTCTATTACCGATCGAAAACATCAAACGCTAAAACAGCAGCAGCAACTCTGCAAAGCAAAATTAACAGAGTGCAAATGATAGAGCTAATGCAATACGCCATACAACTGCCACTGCACAGTGCACTCTGCACACCTCCACCCTCAGCTGCTGCTCTCTCTTTCAACAAACAACAGAGTATGCAAAAACGTAAAACCTGCTGCTATCTATCCATCCGTCCACATAAACCACTCAGCTAACCAAACCAAACAGCAACATACAAAACAACTATATCTACGCTAATCAAATATACTATGCCGAGACCTCAGGCTTGTACTCTCGCTCTCTTCATCTTATTTTTCTCAAATCTCACACGTTATGCTGCCACAATATAAAAACCTCAAAATAAAATAAAAAAAGATTTTTGCAAAAGAGTAACTTCTCCACTACACCACAACACTAAAATTAAATCAAATCAAAAAACTCACGATCTCCAAAATTTGTCCTANCCATCCACGTCCCTCTCCCTGGCCGCTTGACTCGAGAGCGCAGCCGCTGTTTCGCGCTTTCGTCTCGCTGCGGCCGCGTTCTTGTCCGCTTTCTTCTGGCTGGCCGTCTTCTCACCGTGTTTGCTTGCGGCCGCCTCGGCTCGCCTAAGCATCTCCTCTGGGTCATCAACCTCTGAAAGCAGCCCTCCATCAATCAATCAATCAATCCAAAGCATCACCACATCACGAAAGCACTCACTAATTCCCTCCTTCAAAACTAACCACCAAACTCAAAAATTCTAACAAAACTAACCATCATCAGACAATGAACCAAATTTATTGGCGACGTTCACACCGTATTCAAACATTGACATTATTGATATCAATATTATCGACGATACTGATAATACTACACACCAACAACAATAATACTATCGATCGATTCACGATTCACTGTTTGTATCGTATTGCGATTGCTGATTACACGCCTCCACTCTTTACATAGAATGGCAAAGGATGCCCATTCTGAGCCTTGCAAAACAAACTGAAATCAGCCGACAAATCAACTGCTCATCACCTCACACCAAACTCGAAACTACTTCTCGCAACAAAACTTCGAAAACGTTCCTAATCCGTCTTCAATAAACCACCACCGAAATAAATGCACGCAAAAATACTAACTTCACGTTAGCAGCGACGAACGCGTAACAAACAACATTAAACACTACAGCAACATTAAACACTACATCAATATTAAAAACACAACAAGACGACCTCTCCTCCCTATCAAACCGATAGATAAAGCATCCTAAAACACGCTCAAATTCTTGGATTTTTCAAAAGCAGCACGCACGCAAATTCCTCATAGAGTCGACAAGAAACC